TTATGTGTTGGACCTGTTGTTGTTGGGAGATCTAATGATATACACACAAGTTGTTGTGATATATAGAAATAAAACAAGAGAACGATCGACGAAGCGAAAAAATAAAACGAGAAAAATTCACACCAAAAAACAGTAACACAGCAAAACACACAGATTTATGTGGTTCGACAAATTAACTACGTCCACGGAGTTGCAGAGGATTTTACTACTTGAAGAAATTTACACCAGTCGATCAACTCGACCTACAAGAGGAATCTCTCACTCTTTATTGCTCTTTGTCTTCTTCTCTCTTTGTTCTTCTCTCTCTACACCGAGATACACCGAATAAACTCTACACCGAGATACAACGAAGAAGAAACACATGCAAGAGAAATAAGCCCAATTTCTTTTCTGCCAATAAACCCAATGTCTCTTCTGCCACAAGCCACCAAGAAGAAGCCTAGGGAGAACAATCTTCTTCTTCATTCTTTTTCCTTCTTCTGCCGCAAGGAGCAACCGCTTGCACTTCTCTTCCTCTGTCCCGAGGAAACCTTCCTCTATCTCGAATCATGAGGAAACCAAAGAATAACTCAAATCGTGACTTAGAAAATTTCAAGGAGAGCCGTCCAAAGTCTTTTATCGCGAACAGGAAGGAGACGTCGCAACTATTCATGAAACAGGAGCGGGAACAGTTCACGAACTGAAGGCGAGCGGGAGCGGTCGCGGGCTTTCGCGAAAGGGAGGCGGGAGTGGGATCGGGATTGCGTCGATTCACGATCAAGCAGTGCGGGAGCGGGATCGGGCTCCAACACTTAACAATCTCCCACTTTACACCTGCTACAACGTCTTCTTCCTCAAACTGACATCCTCCACTAGCGCCGTCGCCTTTTTCTTTCACCATGAATCCTCTACCATGAATCCTCCACTTTGAATCCTCCACCTCAAATCTTCCACCTCTGCAGCTCAAAGCCTCTGTATTCGCTCTAGAAGACCAACTAAAGCTGTGCACAACTTCAGTTTCTCAAGAGTAACACTCTCAGTCAACATATCAGCAAACTCCATATAGCTTTGCATCTTCAAGCTATTTTCTGTGTCACTCTTGTCTCTTCTTACAACTCCCACTGCATGGGCAACATCCTGCATTTACTGAAAGTCTTTTTCAACAAGTCTAGTTTTGTACCTCTTACTGACATCACGCTCAGTCTTCACCTGATACACTCACTTATTGTGCAATGTCTTCTTTCCTGGTGGAAGTTCTGTCAGCTCCCGCTTGCTCGAACTTTCATCTTGCAAAATTTCTTCATAGCTCTGTGGTTCTTCAACATCTGTCTGTGAAACAATATGAATGGATGCCCCAGACCCACTTTCCTCTTCACTTCCGTCATTGTTATGCACTGTGGCCTCTGGTAGATTTCCTACCACATTCAAAGCCCCTAAATTCAATATCAAGTCTTCAACATAACTATGAACTACCAACAATAGTGCATCATGTGATTCTTCAGATACCACATTTTCGCTATCATTCTCCATCTTAAGATTTTTACAGTTCTTCTTTATGTGACCAGCCTTGCCACAATATGGATTCCAGCAGCTTCTCCTTATGTGGTCAGCCTTGCCACAATTCTAACAGGTTGTTTGCTTACTAAACTTTGATTTTGATCTCCATATACTTGAGTTTCTGTCATGTCATCTCCCTCTGAAATCAACATTCAGTGTCGAACTCGAACCTGAGATCTCGTCAGAATCTTTCCTGCGAACTTCCTCAACCAAAATCAAATCACGAATATCATCGTATTTCAGTTTAGATTTACATGCAAAACTGCTAATTGCTATTCTCATGGCTTCCCAACAATCTTGCAATGAAGCCAACAAGATCAGTGTAGATATCTCATCATCAAAATCAATTTTCATAGACAACAATTGATTTGTGATAGTATTGAAATCATTCAAGTGTTGAACAACAAAAACACATTCCGCCTTCCTCAAATTGAATAACTTCTTCATCAAGTGCACTTTATTATTCGACGATGATTTTTCATACATACCTGATAAGGCTGTCATGAGAGCTGCAGTCGTCCTTTCCTTGACGACGATGTGTGCAACAGACCTCGATAGGGTCAGTCGAATAACCCCCAGAACCTGTCGATCCAACAAATTTCATTCAGCCTCATCCATCCTTTCAGGTTTTTTCTCCAATAACGAAAGATGAAGTTTCTTCCCATAAAGATAATTTTCTATCTGCATTCTCCAATAACCAAAATATGTGTCATCAAATTTCTCGATCCCTAAAACCTTCACTTCATCTGCAGCCATCATTCTTCCTCAGATCCGAACAAAGCTCTGACACTAGTTGTTTTTGTTAGAAGATCTAATGATATACACACCAGTTGTTGTGGTATATATAAATAAAACATGAGAACAATCGACGAAGCAAAAAAATGGAACGAGAAAAATTCACACCAGTAAACAGTAACACAGCGGAACACACAGATTTACATGGTTCGACAAATTGCCTACGTCCACGGAGTTGCAGATGATTTTACTACTTGAGGAAATTTACAATTTACACGGAAATTTACACTAGTCGATCACCTTAACTTACAAGAGGAATCTCTTACTCTTCGTTGCTCTCTCTTTACACCGAGATATACCGAAGAAACTCTACACCGATATACACCGAAGAAAAAACACGTACAAGAGAAATAAACCCAATTTCTCTTCTGTCACAAGCCACCACGAAGAAGCCTAAGAAGAACAATCTTCTTCTTTCTTCTTCCTTTTGCCGCAAGGAACTATCACTTGCACTTCTCTTCCTCTGCCCCAAGGAAACCTTCCTTTATCCCGAATCCCAAGGAAACCGAAGAAGAACTCGAATCGTGACTTAGAAAACTTCAAGGAGAGGCGTCTGAAGTCTTTTATCGCGAACACGAAGGAGACGTCGTGACTATTCGCGAAACGAGAGCGAGAACAGTTCGCGAACTAAAGGCGAGTGGGAGCGGTCGCGGGCTTTCGCGAAAGGGAGGCGGGAGCGGGCTCGGGATCGCGCCGATTCGCGATCGAGCAGTGCGGGAGCGGGATCGGCATAGATCGGCCTCCAACACTTAACAGGACCATGAAGGAGTGTTTTGTGGTTGAGTAGATCTTGAATGGTAAAACCACTAACAACAAATATGATGGAGCAATTATTGTCTTTTGCTAGTTCATAAACAAAAATTAAGCTATGTGAAATATGTGGAGCATGAAAAAGAGTGGATAGAATAAGCTTAAGATCTAACGTGGGCAATAGCCTAGCACCAATATGTGATATTTCTATAGTTTGACCATTTCTCACAGTGATTGAATCTTACCATGTATATGGAGTCAGATTCTAAAAGTTTCCACTGTAAGGTTTCAAGTGAGTCGCAACCCTGAATCTAAAACTCATTCTTGTTCCTTAGGTCAAACAGTGGATAAGAATGCAACTACTTGATTTATTAATGAATGTTTATACTGCAAATTTATATTGTGCCTACACTGATCTGACGTATGTCCTTTCTTGTGACATTTACAGATATATATATATATATATATATATATATATATATATGATCTTTTTTTTGTGTGTGTATATATGATCTTATTTTTGTTTGTATTGAATGATGCTGAGTTATTTTGTGAAAAGACAGTTTTAGATTGATTTCTTGAATTGTAGTTTTTGGTTTTGTAATGAAGTAAAGCTTGTGTAGAGGATTCTTGACTCTCCCAAGTAATATTGCTTTCTTCGCTATGCAAAAGATAATAAAATTCCTTTAGGGAAATGGGGTTGAGTACGAATTGCACTTTTAATTTTGCGGGTAGCCCATTGAGACTGTATAAAATGTTGTCTTCTTTGTCGATGGTGGATCCAGCTACAGCTATGTTATCGACCATAGTCTTGATTGTGATAAGATATTGAGCCATATTATTGTTTCCCATGATAAGGTTGTGTACTTCGTTCTCGAGCTATATGACTCTGGAACGATTGCTTGCTTGAAATCTTCTTTCAAATATAATCCATATTTTTACTGCGCTGTTGAGATGCAAAATGTAGGATAACACTGATGCAAATATGATTGAAAGCATGGTTGCACTCAAGTTTTGATCCACCAATTTGCATAGTTGATAATCGTGATTGTTGGAACCAGAATCTTGATTTGATATAGCAGGAACAGAAACTGTGGGATCTAAAAAGGCTTTAAGACCATTTGCAAGGAAGATTTTTCTGATTTGAACCTTTCATATTGCATAATTTTCATATGTTAGGGAAATAGTAACCACGTTCTTGATGTTAGCCATCAAGAATTTCAAAACAGTTCGAATACTTATCTCCTCATCCTGTTAATAGTATCTGTGGGTTGAGAAGGAACCTGAGAAGATGATCAGGAGTTGTGATTCATGGATCTTATTGCATTAAAGCTTCTGCTCTTATACCATGAAAAGAATTAAAGAAGAGATATAGAGAGAAACAATAGAACAAAGAAATTATTTCATTCATTACATTTCTATTACAAATGCTCATGTCATATAGAACTAAGAATGGCATACTTGTAATTTACATACATGGGCAAAACAGTAAACATACAATATGTGTCATCTATTAAAACAAAGTAGCTTTCTTTTAACACTTCGTAGAAGTTTAAAGAACCCATGAAAGAAGCCCCAGGCGAGTCCAATAGCGGCTTGGACAGAGACACATGTAAGTGCGGTTTTAAAAATCATATATAATTATCTAGTTTATTTCCATCTCTATATCTCTTTGTTGACATTGATTCAGTAGAGCAGTATATTATAATCTTCACTATAAAAACTATAATTTGGATTGATTTTGTTCGATTAAACTGATTTTTTCTCAGTTTACTAAATTCATAAACATAAATCAAATCAAATCAAGCGAGTTATACAGATAAAAAAACTGAAATCAAATCAAACTTGAACAATCCATATACATTTAAAAAAAAATCCTTGGAAAGCCAATGCTACTGATGAGAACATACACAGAGAAATTGAACAAATTATTCAATAACCAAAAAATTACATCAATCTTACTGAAACCTGAAGAACCAGGAAGAAAAAACGAACTCCAAATGATTAGTAATCATAATGAGTTAATTTAGCTTCAAATCTTCTAATCAATTCTGTTAACATTTCTTCCCTTTCCTTCTACCTAAAATCGCTGAAATCAACCAAGAAATTAGTACAAATGCCTCTTATTAAACATGAGGGGATAATGCTCACCGTCCGCCATTCATAACCCGGCGATCTCAACAAGCATAGAAATCGATGAGCTCATCGAGCAACTCCGGCTGAGGATCCGCGTTCTCCAGCATCCAAAGGAGATGCTCAAACAGCACAACCTCGCACCCTACGAAAGCGCCGCCATCACCGCCGCTAGATCGGTTGATTAAGGTTTGGAAGATCGGACGATCGATGACATCGGAGCTTAGGAGATACCTCCGGCGAGATTTCCCGACGAATACGGGGTGGAAGCCGCTGGGAATATCGTCGTCGTCCGTCGATTCGCTCGAGCCATCTCGGCCGCCGCCGCCGCCTGTGAGAGTGGTCCGGGTTGAGGAGTTCCACCTCTTGATTATGGATCGGAGCTTGCTCAGCTTCCCGTTCTTCGCCATTTTTGCTTACAGGTGGAGATGGGAATCTGGTATTTGGAAAGCTAGGGGAAGCGGCTGAAGACGATGCAGGCGTCGAGGGCTTATATATAAAAGCGAAAGTTTTGGATTTATAAATTATGAATTTAATGGATAAAGGCGTGGTCGAGTTTTATTTTCCAGGATCGTGTAATTACTCTCAGAGAGATTTTCATACATGTCATTTAATTATTTTCTATTTACATGTAATTCTTACTTTTTAATTTTTCGAACATGCCATTATATTTATGTATGGGAATGGGTATTTCTTGTTTTTAATTAAATAAATATACTTTAATTTGATATAAAAAAGTTGGGTGGTATATAATATGCCATCAATAAATTTTATCATTCAACACGGTCTCGAGATAATTTTTTAAGCGACGTCCAAACTTAGATTTAAAATCATCCATAATTATTATTTCCTCAAAATTATAGTCAAATTGTTTAGTTCGACGAGACAGAACCAATGATATAAAAAATGTTTGGAGTCAAATTAACAATAAATCAAGTTGTTAAACTATTTTTGAAAGCTTTCAATGTATAATTAGAATATCAAATATATTCTAAATCTAACTAACTTATAGTCAAATCGATTGTCTCGGTCAGACGAATCCAACGAGCTCAAGATCACTTAATTCTGACATTATTAAGATACTGAAATGTTCATTAAATGTTGTCAGATCAAGGAAATCTCATCGGGGCTGCTTGATAAAGTGGTCTAAATTTTTTTCTTTATTTGCATAGAGTTCTCTCACAGACTCTATGAATAGAGCCCAACCCCATGCTTAAGAGGGATCCCATAACTTGAGTCAGAAGAAGACTGTAGCTTAGAGGATGAGCCCTAATCTAACATTCGCTTCTCTGCACCGTAGATTCCACGAATATATCCTGCTCCGCATTCACCAACCACCTTTAGCCACCACATGACAGCCACTGCCAACTCCATCGACTGTCATCTATGTGTTGCAACAATGCTCTGAGTAGTGCCAAGTCTTGTCTTGTGGAGCAACGAATCAACGTGCGAAGCAACAACCGATGTCGTGGAGTCATGAAGCATCCTACAAAGTAGTACATTAGCCCGAACTTTGTGCTAAACCTCAAACATGATGTACTAAAGGTCTAAAAACTACTCCCTACTACAATCGCTCCATACTGTGAGGGCAACAAATTCTTTTGTGTAGGACCGTTCTAACTCGAGAAACCATATAATCATTTCCCGCCTGCGTGATAAGAGTCTATACACGTAATCACCAATTGATAGTGAATCATTTTATCTAAGCTAGGTCCCATGGTTTTTCCTTTCTAGGTTTTTTATGTTAAAATTTCTGGTGTTTCTACTTGGCACTTTTATCACCCGAGTGTCTGATGGATTCTCGCGCAGAGCTAAGACGATAATTCATTATCTACCTTCGTGAACTATATAATACACACCATTATAAATGTAAAATGTAAAGTTGTTAGATATGTAAATACATAGGAATTGTGTTTTATATATATAAATACCATAATAATGAAAAGTTTTACCTTCTAGTATGTAAATTACATACGTATATATATATAACCCTAATTCTATGTATTAAAATAATTTGTATTTAGTGCTAACATGTTTATATGAAATAAAAGAAGGAAAAGAAGAGAAGAGATGCTGAAGCGGAGGAGAAGTCAGGAGAAAAGCTACGTTTTTTTAATCCATTCTCAATTACAAGAGATGCATGTCTAACCTTTACATACTTCACTCGCACAGCTAAATCTTTTATCAACTCTCCATCCAATGCTGAGATTTGAAGATGGCCATGAATGACTAGTAGCCCAACAACACTAAGAAAAATCTTCTGTAGTTACATTAAATATAAATTAAAAAAAAAATTGGAATTTATCCTCCACAATTTTTCAAATTATGAATAATGCAAAATTGTATTGCTCAATATATATTTAGATAATAAAATAATTAAATAATAAATTTGTGTATTTTTTTTTTTTGATATAAAATTAATAATTTTAATGTTTATTTTTTTAAATAAAATTTGATTATATATTCTTACTTCAAAAATATTTACTTCTTAATCAAATTTTAAGGGAGATAACATTTTAAAAGGTGATTAGGTAGAGAATATTACGTGCGGTATTTGCATGTGCGGATTGAAGATATTTGTAGGTAGTAATTTTGTCATGCTGCCGTAGAGGCTACATGAAGCCTACAAGGTGCCTAGAATTCAACCGCGTAGGACCATGCAGGCTCAGAAATCTTTGATTTTTCTACTGAAGTTCGCCACATTTTTCATTTAAAAAATAATTATTTGAATACATGCTTAAGACTGTTTATTGAGTCAAAGTGTAATTGAGTCAAGTTTGTTTGTTAATATTAGGAGTTAGTTGTTATTTTTTTTATTTTTTTTCTTGTTATTTTCTTGGCTGATTTTTAAGTCTTTTTCTTGAAAGTTTGTTATTAACTCCAAGTTTAAATATTGTACCGCTACACAAAAAAGTGTGTGGTTCTAATTTTCCTTTTAATCTATAGCAATTCTCTTAAGTTTTATCTTCTTTCTCATTTCAAGGAACCAACAATTTGATATCAGAGCTCTCTTCTTAAGGGGTCTATGTGCGAGTTCGAGCGGCAATGAAGATCGAAGTTAGTTTTTCCTCAGTTGCTCCACCAGTTTTTTACGGAAACAACTACCAGATCTGGGCAGTCTACATGGAGACCTACCTGAAAGAATTCGAGGGATGCAGGTGCTAAACTTGGTTCGTGATTTTGAATTGCAAAAGATGAATGAGAAAGAAACCAACAATAATTATTATTTTTCGATTATTATTATTTATCACGAGTCTCTCAATATTAGTTTGTAAATTAGCTCGAAATATATTGTTATAGGCTTTAAAATATTATAAAACATCTTCATTTTAATTATTAACCATCATTGTTAAACTATCATTTTAATAATCATGTATTTAACTTAAATCTAAACAAACACCAAATAAAAGAAAAAATTAAATCCAATTTTCTCGCGTCTAATTTGAATCTTCTCACATTCAATCACATTTGAGATGTAAATTTGGATTTAATATATCTGATTGCTAGCTGGATTTAATCCACAAAAATTTACCCTTGATCTCTTTTCGTCACAAAAATTTGATAAATCTGGATTTATCAAAAACAACACCTTAGGCTTTGTCTGGGGCAGCTGGGGCTGTGAAGATGCTGAAGAATAAGCTACATTTCAAAAAGCTGTGGTGGCTATTATAAAAAAAAATAAAAATAAAAAATTCATACTGTAGTTTTCTAGCAACCACCACATGTAGTCATGTATGGTGGAAAACGTAGTTTTCGGCTGATAAAACACAATTTTGTCAAACAGAATAAATAACAATGAAACAGCACACCGCCACACCAAACACACCCTTAATTCAGTTTCTGTGCTTGCTGACACGAAGAGCCTCTATTTTTTTTAAGAAAAAAAACAAGCAAACTAATTTCATAAAATACAATTTTTTAAATATTTTTATTTTTGCTGAAGTACCGTGCAGACAGAGTTCTTGAATAAAGAGCAAAATTATTTATATATTTTTCGAAGTTCTTAGTTCCCTCCACAAAACTATTATTTTGAGGGCACAACGTTTTGTCTGTATCGTATTCTAACAAATATAGTGCTCATGAGTTCGAACTTATGTGTTATGTTGCGGTGCATGTTCGTTGATTCTGTGAGAACGTGAAGGGGAACAGCATATGTATTGTACTTATTGGTCGAGTAATCTTTATATAAGAATAATATATATTCGACATTTTTCATTGTTTTAAGATTTAGAGTCTGTTTGGGGCAAATTGTGCATTTTAGGATAAGTTGTTTATCCTAAAATGCGGCCCTCGGGCCGGCCACGGGGGACGACCTGCAGAAAAACTCATACGTAGTCTTAGATAAACTGACGAAATGCGTGAACTAAACGGTACGACGGCGTTTTAAAGACACCGCCTGCACTTATAAGCTGTCCCAAAAGGACCCTTAAATGAGCATTTATTTTCATTTATAGAAAAACTGTAATACGATTCTAATGAAAATAAAAGCTCATATGGTACAAGAACAACGACCTTAAGACGCAAAAAAAAAAAAAAAAAAAAAAAAAAAAAATATAATAATAATAATAATATTTTATCTCCGCCTAAGAGAGGCGGAGAAGGGTGGAAGAGGAGAAATTTCAAAGACTTGGTTAGGAGAGAACACCCGACGATAACCACAAATATTTATAGCCACCGCCTGCATTGATCTCCGCTCATTGGTCACTATTGATCGACTTATTAGGAAGCCTCTCGATTTCCCTCTTTACCGTCAACAACAGCAGGTTCCCTTTGAGAAAATGTACTTCAAGTTTTTATTTTTTGTTTTGGTGTAAGAGGAAATGCCCAACAATTAAATTGTCACCATCTCATCCATTATGAGTTTAGAGATTGGCCACTACTTTAGATGAGTTTTGTATACATGCATTTTTATAAATTTGAGGTTACATATATAGCCCTCTTAAACTCCGAATCAACTTTCCAAAAGTTGGCGAGATTAACTTGATTGGCTGATCTTGGTATGTGTGGGTTGATTAGCTGATCTAGTCTACTTTTCGATGCTTGACAACTGATAAGGAATCTCTAGGCGTCCTTGGGATAGTTGGAGATACCGGGGAATCGAATCTTCTCTTGAATTGGCTCTAATAAATGATAGGTTTTTTACTTCGGATATACTTTCCTACAGTGATTAGCTCAAATATCCTTTTGTCTCGTGATCTGGTCGGTTTTTGGTCTTGTTGGCTTGGATTGAGCACAAATAGGTCTTTGCATAAATTCATAGTCCTCACTGCGGGTGTTCGCCAAAATTTAGCGTTAGATTGACTCATGTAAGATACTCCTAAATATTATTTAAATTTTTTATTGGTTAAGCCCTTAATCTAGCAACCAGGCTAATTCTCGAGCAGTCATAGACCCGGGATGAATTGATGAACTTTTGAAGTCACCATCCTATCCCGTGTTAAGCTAGGGGTAATTAGACCCTTGAGTTCACCTGATT